CTGGAGCAGTAGGGAGGACTATCTGCCGTGGGAGGGACCCCAGGCTGGAGCAGGGGCAGAGGGTGAGGAGCCCTCCCCTGAGGAGGAAGGAGCAGCAGGGACAGCATGTGATGGACTGACCCCAAACCCCATTCCAGTCCCCCTGCGCTGCTGGGCGGGAGGAGGTAAAAAAAATCGGGAGTGAAGTTGAGCCCGGGATGAAGGGGAGGGGTGGGAGGAAGGTGTTTTAAGATTCAGGTGGGGTTTTTTTATTCTCTCCTCTGTTTTGATTGGTAATAAGTTAAACTAATTTCCCTAAGTTGAGTCTGTTTTGCCCATGACAGTAACTGGTGAATGATCTCTCCCTGTCCTTATCTCGACCTATGAGCCTTTCAATATATTTTTCTCTCCCCTGCCCTATTGAAGAGGGGAGTGATAGACTGGCTTGGTGGGCACCTGGTGTCCAGCCAAGGTCAACCCATCACAAAATCCTGAGGCGGTGTGGTCTCTGAATTCTGGGCATTCATATGATGTTATAGAGGTATACGTTAATCTCCATGAAATGACTAAAGAAACAGATTGCAGAAGAAAAATGAATGGTTGTCAAGGTACAAGCAACTACAACTTAATGGAGACCTACCTGAAACGTACTCAGCACTGTAAGTGGGATGGTTTAAGGATAATAGAAATAATCAAGCTGAATCAAGGGAAAACATTTAAACATCAAAATGTGAATTATGATTGTTTGCTACTTAAAACATGTTATTAAACTCTCACAAAATAAACAATGTTGAGGCAAACCCATTGGTTAAAAATCAGCCTGGCTTATGGAGATGTGAAAACTGACCGTTTATTATTGGGTTTTCCTGGGGTTTTTTTTAGAATCAAAGTTCAAAACCTGGGTTTATAGGCAAGAGAACAGGAAAAGACACTGAAGAAAATAAACTTAATCCATATTAATTATGAACAGTAAGAATGAGATTTTTCCATTGTTCCTGATGTTTTACCTTAATGGTGGTACTTGTGCAAGCATTAGATTGTCAGTATAAATATGGTAGATATTTTTAAAATGTCAGTTTTTTCTGTCTTGGTGATAAGTCTCATTTTGCATTTTATTAACAGCAAATGAATATGTTAAGCAAAAGCTTTAAAAATTTGTCAAGATCCTTGAATCAGAATATCCAAATAATGTTCTCACCAGTTCTTTAAAAAAACCCCAAACCCTC